CCCCAAAACCCCAAAACCCCAAAACCCCAAAACCCCAAAACCCCAAAACCCCGAAATAAGAGATTTTGATTGGATATTCGAAATTAATAGTACTGAGATTGGAAAGTTAGGAAGAAGAGGGGTAGGAGAGGATTTTGAGGGAATTTTAGTGATTAGAGAGCTACTTTTTGTTCCTCTGCGGATAGGGATGGGGCGCCAAGGTTGACTGGGTTGTTTGGAGGGCCGGGATAGACTGGGGTTCCGGAAGGTATAGCGCTTGTAACAATGGAAGAGCTCCCAATTTTCTGCTGCTCAGGAATAGGAGGTAAGGAGTTATTCGTATAGGCTACAGATCAGAAAGGGCTTACTGTTTTGGTAGGTGGTGACCCCAGGGCCAGGTTGCATTTGAGCTAGTTGCTGATCTGTATACTGATACATTGTTGGAATGATCATCTGGGTGTTGTTGATGCTCGGCTCAATACTGTTTACGTTTGAAGGATACTGAACAGGATTAACTTTGTTAGGAGTATGAACAGATCCTTTGCTTCCACCGCATCACATTGCACAAATCAACCAGGTCGTTCCAACACTGCAAACAAGGAATCAAATTCCAAAGATGATCCCTAGCACAAGCCAGACTGTACCGGAGCTTCTATACGATTACTTTGATGCTTACGATCCAGAATCATCTGAAGAAGATGAAGAGGAAGCCGATTTAGAAGCCTTGAGATAGATAGCAAAACTATTATAAGAACTTGAAGGCTCTGCAACAATGTAGACGTTATTGTCATCGTCGAAGGTCACATTCTTCTTCTCTCCACTAGACAGCCAATCATTGTATGAGTACTTGTTCTGGCCGCTGGGTCCCGTGTACACCGTCAGGTTGGTGGAATACTTGTATGCTATTTGGAGATTCATTAGAGAAAATACCAGGGGTTATACAAGGAGATCAAAATAGACTCAATAAGTATGGTGACCATCAAAGCATGAAAAATGGAGGGACCAAAATTGTGCATGATGGTATACTAAGGATTAGAAAAATTAGAGATGGAGCAATAATAATACCAAGAAGTTATATTGGTTAACTGAACTCTTTAGCTGCCTGTAAACAATAATTATTATAAAGCTGATGGAGAGCGAACTATATATGGTTGTCCTGGTTGCTGATACAATAAGAGTTGCTAAGTTTGCAATTATATAACTTTTAAAAGAACTAATTTTATCACAATTTTTTGTAATTTTGAAGAAAATGCTATTTTCTTTTATTCTTTGGGTTCATAGACTGTTTCTGTGGCTCCTCTTACAAAGATCGCCCTTTATTTCTTTAAAATAGTATACCAACAAAAGTTACTTTACAAAATAAGGCAAATTTTTTTTTGTTTAAAATTTTTTTATTAGAGTCTTTCAAAGCCGAAATCAGAGATATATGCAGTAAATATAATTAAAAATCATATCCAAGATACTTGGCAAGCGCTATCTATGAGTAAAAGGTATAAATCTTCATTTTTATTCTTAGAATTTTTCAGAGATTTTAAGTTAAAATAAAAATCTAAGCAGAAAACTTTAAAGTTCTTACAGACATAGATTTCAAGACTTTTGATGGAACTGTTGCTTGTCTGAACTATATAGCTGCACACAGAACTCGAATCAATGTAGGTATTAGACAGAGTGTAATTTGTTCCGGTGTAGTATATTGTCTTTGTTCTTGAGAGACAATCACTTGAACTATATGGACACAGTATGAGCCCTCCGTTACCACCAATGTTGCTTGAGTTAGAGCAGACGTAGCTACTGCTACCTGAGCAATAACCAGATGTCTGATAAGAGTAGCATCAATCTCCATAGTATTGAGTAGTCCCAGTTGAGGAACACCATCTTTGTGAAGAGCTCTTGACTCAGGCTCTGCAGGTTGAGCGACTTGAAGTGGACAAGTCTCTATCTAGATTCACCTCTGTGGCATAGCTTAATGCCAACATTGCTATTATAATCAGGAACATCTATAACTAATTATTTCAAAAATTTCTCCCTTTAAAGGGGTTTTGGGGTTTTGGGGTTTTGGGGG